CATGGGGACATAAACACCAATGAGGGACAAATGGTATTTGCATGAATTTGTCTACCTGTTTTTGGGCCATTACACATCTTGCACTATCTGGAAAATATGCATATGATTTGAAAATCAATAACCTTGTAATAATATTAATGTTGAGAGAAAGTAGTGTTTGGATGACCTGTGATCACCTGTAGTGTGGGTACACAGTATTTTTTTCTAAAAAGTCTGCTGGTTGGCAGATGCTTTTGCTAATTGGGGGCTTTAGATTCTCTTCTTATCCCAATAATTGTCACAGCTTTGCAAAGAAAAAAAACTTTGTGCCAAGAAGTGGAGCCTGCATGTTCTGCCTCGTTCAATGCATAAGTGTGAGGAATCCCTAATTCCCTATAATAAAAGTTATTAACATATTTCATTTGTTCAATTATAGACTAATTGTATAAATGAATTTTCATTGAGTACTATCTTTCAATGATTTTCAAAAGAGTCCTTTATGTATGCCCCATTTGGATTTCGCCCAATATGTGTAGCCGAAATTGATGATTTGGAGCCTATGTGTAGCTTTTTTGTGGACATACGTGACGAAATTTAAATCGAGCTAAAGAATTAATAACTAAATTCGATCCTTATTTAGGTGATTCTCAAATGAATATACTAAAGATTTGGAGGCCGTTGTAATTTGATTTCTTATAAACAATATGAAACATATCAATGAAAATCCAAAATCCTAATCATACTTCCATTAATGAGTACACAATCGTAGGCAATATATAACTTTTATCTTGAACACTGTTTTCAAAGTTTTGGAGGATAATGTGAATCTCATTCCATATAAATACAATGAAATATATATTAGTAAAAATCCTAATCATAATTTCTCTATTGAATAAGGCAATTGATCTTACCAATTACTTTATAATTAAACACTGTTTTTAATTTCGAGCTTCGTTCTTTTAGGTCATGAAACGTCTCCTAGCGCTCTGCAGGTCTCGTCAAACAAGACTCGAATATCTTAAGAGAGCTCGAAACTCATATTTGACGGCGTGGAGCACATCACCTTTTAACACGAACCGAAAATTATCCAAATTGCCAAACACACATTCGACTTTAGCAGCAAATCGCAAAGTAGTTTTGCATTATTTCTTTCTGGGAAAGTATCAAATTACACATTTCTATTATTGCCGGATGAAAGTAGAAATCATTGGTCAAAAAGCTTCATTTATCAGACATGTAAATAAGTAAAATTACTTTCATTCATGAATTCAAGACATTTCACAAGTGAGCCCTGAGGTAGCATAACCCCAAAATAGAGTTATATGAGAACACCTCCAGTAGCTCGTGAACTCCGACACAACAATCGATATTTACATATTCGTACATGCCATATACAAAATTTCTCATCAGACTCCTAATCAAAGATTCTGTGTAAGTCTTTCCCTCTTGATATCAGGCTATACAAATCTCCTTAGAATGAACCTGAATTTA